AAAAAAAAAAAAAAAAAATGCTCCCTTCCCCGAAAATATTTCCAAATTGTACAAAACAATTTACCTTAGATTTTGTTGAGTCACTTGTAGCTGAATCTGTGGGAAGTTAAAGGGGACGTGGTCAGTATTAGCCAATCTTTACTGCTTTCCACAAACAATGCAAAACTTATGGAAGAGACAGGCACAGAACAAAATGAGAAAGCAGAACTCAAAACAATAGAACACAGTGGATAGTCAGAGCTCACAAAGATGCAAGCTGCACCACAGAAAGCCACCGCCATGAAAGGATGCTGTGAGTTGTAGGCAGAACCAGCTCAATGATAGGGATGGCAAAGGAGCCCTGTGCTAAACGAGAACAGAAACACTAGTGTTTATTAAAGGGTCTAAATAGTAAGTCAAGCAGTAAAGAAGCTGGAAGACCTTTGGAGGATTTTCTTAGGTACCACATCCTGTATCTAAAGCGGATACACAATGTAGAACTTTGAAGATGGTTGGCCGCCCTCGCTACCAATCGAGACACTCGTACAGGTGTGTTTATGTTGATTTTTGTCAGACTGTCAGACTTCAATTTTATAAGCGTATAATGGACTCATACGGATACAAAAAAAAAAAGAGAGAATAACCCTGCTTGCAGGCCACTTTGGTTGCATGTTAGATAATGCTGATCTCTGTGCTTCAGACCCCAGTCTCACAGCAGTGCAGTCGGGGGTCCTTTTAACTGGTTTGGTTAGTTTGGTTCAACTGCTACCAGTTTTGCAATTATCTATTAACAAATGCTGTTATGGAAATGGAAAAATGGAGACCATCATTTTACTGTCTGGCAAAAACTCAGATTATACAATTATAAAGAGGGTAGGAAGGGGCTAGCATTTTTCTTTTCTTTTCTTTTTTTTTTTTTTGGTCCAGGATGATGTCAATTTGGAGGATTTCTTCTGTCGACTTCAGGGAAATGGATTTTCAGAATTAATGAGCTGAGCCCCGTGCCACGCCCCTTTCAACACATGGCTAAATGCTTTATGACTTTAAGAACTGGTAGACCGTACCATGCTATTTCTCCTCAGGGTCTGCTTCAGAAATAACAAGAAACAGCAGAAAAACTTTTAAGAGAGTAGTATTGATCTGTTTACAATAATCTTAAGAGAAACTCGACACCACAGATCAGCTGGGTTGGCATTTACAGGAATCGGGGGTTTCTGCAGACAAGGCAGCTACAGTGTGGGCAACAGTCCTCTTTCTTCCTACAGGTCCAGCTGTCCATCAGGGACATCACCGAATCCACTAGTGACATTACCGTGTGATAGACTCCTCCCACTTCGCCTGTTCAACATCAGTATAGATTTGCCTGTGTCAGTAAGTGCTGAAAAAACCCTTTAGCGACTAAAAAACGAGAACTGGAGACAAAGGGAGAACATTGTGTAAAACAACATGCTGGGTTAGTGCAACGGTTTGGCAGGAGGAAACTGTCATCAGAAGAGTCTAGGAGAACTAATACTTAACCAAGCGTTAGGGTGGCAAGAGGAAAACAGAAGAAGAATCAATGTCAAATAGGTTGATTTTTTTTTTTTTACTACGATATCTATAGTGACAGATTAATACACGCTATTCATGAAAATCGGTGCCCATTAGCAGTTCGACGTACTCAACTGGCTGCTCTTAAACAGAACTTCGAGCTTAGGAATTGTAACGACTTATACGATCTAGACCAGACTTTCTGCCATCACAGCAACCACATATTCAGTAGCATTTATCTGTTTTACCTTGTGATGACTATTACATGGAAACTGTGAATTCAAAAAAAAAAAAAAAAAAAGAAAAGAAAAGAACAAAACAGTGTGGTTTGCATGCTGGTTTCCCCCTCATGTTTCCATTCTGACAAACATTACAACTCCATGCATTGCCAGAGGCATTACAGTCACTGGAAGGTAATTAAGGTCAATCAGGAAAGGAAGATTAAGTTTTCTATTAGTAGAAAGGGGAAAAAAAAGAAAGAAGAAAAAGGGGAGGAAAAAAAATCATAGTGAATTGTTACTTATGATTGATTGGCTGGCTTTCAGGTTATAGGCATGTAGCTTTTAGCCTAGAGATTAATACTGCCCAGGCAAGAGTTACCTGATACATCTCCCGGTGACACGCCTGTCCTTCCAATGTTGGTGAGTAAATGATCTATGTTGGGCACTGGCTGGGAGTCTACAGTGTTTTCTTCCTGCACTGTGGTCTATGGTTAATAAACAAAGATCTCTTCATCATCTCTTCAAAGACACTTTCTTTAAAATTCAAACAACATTTAGTAAAAGGTACGTTACTGAACGGGGCACCTGCCCTTTATGTTTTTATATCGTTCACACACCATAAATTGCAAGATAAGCACCATAACTGTATATTCCTGGGTCTGAAACTGAGCCGCTAGAGACCAGCGGGCAGTAACAGCATACGAAGCGGGACGTGGACGCTGTCGTAGCATCAAGATCTCACGTCCCACAAAAATAACCGAGCACAGACGCTGATGGCAATACTTACAAGAGGTTCTTCGGCACCTTCTTCTGTGAAAAACCAGTCATGCTAAAATTTAAAACGAAAAAGGTGAGAAGAGAAATTAAACAAGCTCCTAAATATATCTCTATCTTGGAGGATAGTATAGAAGAAAGTTAATTTTCTTAGGGAAATAAAAAAAAAAACTATAATCAAATTCTGCCCTGACCGATGGTCATGAACATGAACGTCCTGGCAGAGAGAGGCAAGGCCCCAACTTACGTGCTGGATCAGCGTCTCTACGATCTTGTACTGGTCGGGCATGTGCGTGACCATGTGGGTCATGTTGTCTTCTGATGTCCGCACAAGAGTTGGACCAAACACTATTGCTAGATTTCTTGGTTCCATCTGAAGCAAAGGATGTTATTGTACAATATCAGATTTTTTTTTTTTTTTTGAGACCACAGTCTCACTTTTTTGCCCTCAGTAGAGGGCCATGGTGTCATAGCTCACAGCAACCTCAATCTCTTGGGCTCAAGCTATTCCCTTGCTGTCGCCTCCCAAGTAGCTGGGACTACAGGTGCCCGCCAACAACACTTGGCTATTTTTTAGAGATGAGGTTTTGCTCTGGCTTAGGCTGGTCTCGAACCTGTGAGCTCAGGCAATCCACCTGCCTTGGCCTCCCAAGTGCTAAGATTATATGTGAGCCACCACACTCAGCCCTTTCAGACTTTTTTTCTTAATGAATAAGCCTGAAATTCCCATTGTACATCTGGTACTTTACTTCTGAAAGGTTCTTTTGATGAAAAAGAATCCAAAGGATGGAAGACCAATACGGGTAAAAGCATAATACTTTTAAGTTATGATTTTCACAAGCAAATCTGTACATAATTTCTTTTTCCTACTTTAATGATAAGGTCCAGTGCCTTGTTGGCATTCATGGCTTTCTTTTTTTTTAATTAATTAATTTTATTGAGACAGATTCTCACTCTGTTGCCCTGGATAGAGTGAGGTGGTATCCTAGCTCCCAAGAGCCTCAAACTCTTGGGCTCAAGCGATCCTCCTGCCTTGTCCCGAGCAGCTGGGACTACAGGCACCTGACATGATGCCCAGCTAGTTTTTCTATTTTTAGGAGAGACGGGGTCTCACGCTAGCTCACAATGGTTTCAAACTCCTGAGCTCAGGCAATCGTGCTGCTATAGCCTCCCAGAGTGCTAGGGTTACCGCATCATGCCTGGCCGCCCAGCCTGGCTGCATGATGTTTCTTCTGTGTTTTTCAAGAAGTCTTTTATAGAAAACAATTGATTTGGTTCAAAAATCGGTTTTATGAGAACTAGATTAGTGGATAAAACTTATAAAATCAAAAAAACTGAATAGCCAATGCAATTCTGCATTTACCTGAAGTCTGGTAAAGTGACGCTACCAAATTAGTGCTTATTTTGCAGAACTGCATTAGCTATTCAGGTTTTTTTCTGGTTCCATATGAAACATGGAACTATTTCTTCAAGATCTTCATAGTAGTCTGGCTCAGCACCAAAAGCTCAAGCAGCTAGGGTGCTAGCCACATACATGGGAGCTGGCAGGTTCAAATCCAGCCCCGGCCTGCCAAAAAACAATAACAACTCCAACACCTCGCCCTCCAAAATAGCCAGGTGTTGTAGCAGGTGCCTGTAGTCCCAGCTACTTGGGAGGCTGAGGCAAGAGAGTAAGTTAAACCCAAGAGTTTGAGGTTTCTGTGAGCTGTGATACCCCGGCACTCTAGCCAGGGCAAGAGCTTGAGACTCTGTCAAAAAAAAAAAAAAGATCTTCATAGTATGATGCAATGGGGATTGCGTTTAATCTGTAGATTGCTTAGGGAAGTCCAGACATTTTGACAATGTTTATTTTTCTAAGCCATGTGCATGATACGTTTTTCCATCTGTTAACACCGCCTGCTATTTCTTAGTGTTAAAACAAATTATTTCTTGAATGATGCTCCACAAAATGTGGTCCAAAAAAGTCTAGGAAATGAAATACCACATCTCCTTATTCAAGATTCAGTGTTAATACATTAAAAACTCTAAAAAAAGTCTGTAGTAAAATTAAAACACCTGTAATCCTAGCACTCTCAGAGGCCGAGGTGGGAGGATTGCTTGACCTCATGAGTTAAGAGACCAGCCTGAGCAGGAGCAAGACCCAGTCTCTACTAAAAATACTAAAAACTAGCCAGGCATAGTGGTGGGCACCTGTAGTCCAGCCACTTGGGAGCCTGAAGCAAGAGGATCCCTTGACCCCAAGAGTTTTGAGGTTGCTGTGAGCTGTGATGCCACGGCACTCAATCCCAGGGTGACAGAGTGAGACTATGCTTTAAAAAAAAAAAAAAAAGGAAAAAACTAAATGGCTGGCATTCTTCCCTTCTTTCTTTGGGATGCCACATCATTCTCTTGCTCTTTTTCCTTTTCTTCCCCCATCTTCCCTCCTCTTACTTCTCTGCTCTCTCTCTATCTTCCTCCCAAATCACTTCCTTTAATATAAAATAAACTTCTACTTTTATACTCTTTTAAGAAAATTTGAAGGTGAACTGAAATTAGATAATATTAAAGAATAACCAATTTTGTTGTGTTTAATAAAGACAGTACAGTGGTATAAATTGGGGGGGGAGAGAAAGTATGATTAACACTAAACGAAAATGTCTGATTTTTTACTGTATACTTTTTGGTACCTCCTGACTGTTGTACCATGTTCATATATCATCTATTCAAAATATCGATAAACAGGGCCAGAATGATGGCTCACACCTGTAATCCCAGCACTCTGGGAGGCCGAGGCCGGGGGATTGCTTGAGCTCAGGAGTTGGAGACCAGCTTGAACAAGAGCAAAACCCTGTCTCTAATAATAGCCAGGTGTTGTGGTGGGAGCCTATAGTCTCAGCTACTCAAGAATCTGAGGCAAGAGGAATGTTTAAGCCTAAGACTTTGAGGTTGCTGTGAGCTATGATGCCACGGCACTGTACTGAGGGAGAATGAATGAGACTGTCCCCCCCCCCAAAAAAAGACAAAAAGCAAAATATTGACAAACAATTGAAAAGTCAAAGAAATAAGATTTCTGATTTTCATTTTTCTTGCTGGGTTAACTGTAAAAGAAAACTTCTTTTAAAATGGTGACACCTCTATTTTGGGACCTTTCACTTTTAATAGCAAACATTAGAAGGACTCACTTTAGAATTCTTATTGGACTATTTGGCATAAAGCAATGAAGCATCTCTTTTACAATAAATTTGAATGTAAATTTCTTTAGTATGCACTTTACGTACCTTATTTTTTTCTGAATTTTCTGCCACCGTCTTTAGATGAGCCGACAGAAACTTCAGTGTTTCGTAATGATGTTCAGGCAAATCATGAATCTGAAACATATTATTTTCATGATGGATTTTTAAATGCTGAATTTTAGTTGTACCTCCAAAAATATAAAATAATACCTACTAGTCTTTTTAATGTTTTCAGACGATCTAGAGGATCTTCTTTACGATTGGCTTCAATAAAATCGGCATATTTATCTGACAACAAGAATGATAAGACCAATTTATCTTCAGTTGCTTAGGTGAATCGTAACCTAGCTTTCCTTTAAGACTGAACTTTAAATCACGATGCGAAGAATGTTGGGAAGATGCCCAAACAGCCTTTAAAAGGGAAATTTGTAAAATTTATGTGTTCGATATATTTTTTTAAGGATCCTCCAAGCCTTACCACAAATAGAATAAAACTCATAAAAATGCAAATTCCTTGCAGGTACCATCCTGAACTTACACAGCCTGTCTATTCCTCTCTCACCCCCAACAATTCTACTACAGTGCCTTAAATAGCATTCAAATATTTGGCTTGACTGAAAAAAATTATTCTTCTGTTACTGCACCATATTATTTCTGAAGAATTCTGACTGGAAATAATAACGTATTTTCAACTTCACTACAAATAATGAATGAATAGGATAATATATATTTCACTGAACTAAACATTTTAGGAACTGTATTTTTTCATTGAAATTTACCAAAGAAGTGTAAAAACTCAGTACATAATTATGCCTTTTTTTTTTTTTTGAGACAGAGCTTCTAGCTGTCACCCTGCATAGACTGCTATAGCCTCAGCTCACAGCAACCTCCAACTCCTAGGCTTAACCAACTCTCTTGCCTCAGCCTCCCAAGTAGCCATAGGCACCTGCCACAATGCGTGGCTATTTTTTGGTTGTAGTTGTCATTGTTGTTTGGCGGGCCTGGGCTGGATTTGAACCTGCCAACTCTGGTATATGTGGCTGGTGCCTTAGCCACTTGAGCTACAAGTGCCAAGCCCATAATTATGCTTTTAATATATACGAAGGAACTCAACTAAACCAACCTCTTGTTTTCTTTGACCTAAATATTTTTTCCCTGGTTCAATTTACAGTTTTCTAACACTTGTGACTTAGGCCATTTCACCTGGTATCTTTCACAGATGCTAACTCACCATTTGTGAAGAGAGGCTCAGGGAGTTTCCTGAAGAAGGATTTTAGTAAACTGCTTATCACATTCAAATCTCGCCATTTCTAGAAAGAAATACAGTATTTTTGTAGTCAGAACCACCAAAGGGGAAGAGACCGGATCAGTTCCCCAAACAGAAACAAACGAACTTACATCATCTTGTATATCAATGTCAGCCATTCCCTTGTTGAGTTCTTCTTGCATACTGGAGATGGCTGCGTTATTTCCAGGAACTCTATAAATACCTGTATATTCAAGACCTCTTTCTTCAACTAATTTGCAACATATATCAACTATTAGTGGAATATACTGCAAAACAAGAAATAAATATTTTACTTAATAGAGCACTAATGCTTATATCTAGTGAGTCGTTGTACATCACAGCTAAAAGGCCCTTGATATCCAAATGGAAATACAGGATTGCTGTTATGTAATACAGGGCAAATAAAGGATACAGACTGTGCACAACAGAGAACAGATAAAACCAGCAAGAGGTGTTTGAGATGGTGGAAAGAATGAATAGAGCTGGAGAGAAAGGTAAGGACCCACAGAGAGAGAATAAAGAGGAAATCAGAGAAGTTGAGGGGAATGCGGAAACGATTCAGGTGATAGGGTTTTTTTTTCTTCTTACTTTTTATCTGTTATGTGAAGGAAGAAACAGTTCAGTTGAATAAAGAGAAATAAAGTCAAGGAAAGAGAAGGAGAGAGCAACATCAATTAACTCATGATATGAGACCGAACATGACTGCTAGAAACCAACAGACACGTCTACATCTATCACACTTTCTTATCAGGACCCTGCTCTCATCCTTGTTTAAGATGCTACAAGCAGAAACACATGATATGAAAATGAATTCTGACTGGGCATTTCAGATATATTCCTAGTGGTTATATAAGTATTCCATTTCAGAGTCAAAACGTTAGGAAAAAACACTGTTGATAAAACTGCTCAATGTGCAGGTCATAAATACTTGGGGGAAAGGAAGGCCCACTGTGAGAAGGAGAATACTCAACAGCTGACAGTCTCTGGTATCTGAAAGGCTATCTGCTCGGGTCTCATTATAACCACAACTGAATGATTTTAGGAAAGCAGGCCAGTGATCTCTCCTACCCGATTAGTGTGAGCTGGTGGGCAATCGTCCAGTCGAACACCAAACGTCCCCGTCGCGGTAGGCTTTTTCTCAAATGTTTTTCTCATAATACTTGGGATGCCTTTTCTCCATGTGCCTTTGTCTTTTGGGGGACTGGTATCATCTTTGGATTGTGACCCAGAATAAAATGACATAATAAAGACAACAGAAAATAAGAGTGTTTGAAATCATGATTTTAAAAACACTTTATCAACCTTGACCTAGACCCCTAAACTATGAATAATACACCCTATATTTATCAAATATCTTCTCTCCCCATATGGCACTCCTTGTAGCCTTTCATAGGTATCAACTTTGAATTCTTTACCCTTTTGTGATGTGTATTACAATTTTCTTTAAAAATAAAAAAAAATTTCTTTAAGATTAAAAAAATAAAATAAAATAGCAAGATGATGAAATGAGTGTGTCATCTGTAAAGTGTAAGATTTTAGCGAAAGGAAAAAGAATGGTTTATGTCAAAATGATAGCACCTGGATTCTCTGAGTTATTCAAATTTGTACCATCTCTTATTAAAGGGCTGTATTTTCTTTCACTTTGTCAGTGTGATGAAATCTGGTGTCTTGGGCCTCACCTTGAGACCCACAGGAACTATATTAAAGGGCTGCGGCATTAGGAAGTTCAGAACCACTGCCTTAGAAGAAAAGGCCCTGTCAGCCTAGACCAGGCCTGCAGTGACCTTTGATACAAAAAAACCCGCAAAGTACTTTCTTTTTTTTTTTTAGACAGAGCCTCAAGCTGTCCCCCTGGGTAGAGTGTCGTGGCATTACAGCTCACAGCAACCTCCAACTCCTGGGCTCAAGCGAGTCTCCTGCCTCCACCTCCCAAGTAGCTGGGACTACAGGCGCCCGCCACAACGCCCGGCTATTTTTTGGTTGCAGCCGTCATTGTTGTTTGGCGGGTCCGGGCTGGGGATTCGAACCCGCCACCTTAGGTGTACGTGGCTGGCGCCTTAGCCGATTGAGCTATAGGCGCCAAGCCCGCAAAGTACTTTCAATATGCCAATCTTAAATCATCTTATCTGTTAAATTTATCCAAGAAAGCTAACATCAGTACCTTTACTGAGAAGTTTCCTTTCTGACTCTTCCTTCGGAGAGTGTGGGCTTTGAGTCTTTGGCTCTGATTTAGCACCAAGCAAAGTCTGCCTGATGCTGAGACTCTGGCGAGGAGTTTTTGGCAATTGTTCTGCTTTGCTGCTGAAAGAAATGAATATTTCTTAACAAATATAGTAATCTCCACCCCCTTTTATCCATAGTTTTACTTTTTACAGTTTCAGTTACCTGTGGTCAACCAAGGTCCACAAATATGGAACAGAAAATTCTAGAACTAATTCCTAAGTTTGAAATTGTGTACTGTTCTAAGTAGCATGGTGCAATGTGGTGCTGCCCCCTCCAGGATGTGAATCATGCCTTTGTCTGGTGTTCCCACACCATTTATGCCACCTGCCTATTACTGTACAGGAAAAAACACATCCCCACACTGTATCCACTATTCCTGCTACCATCCAGGAAAAAGCACACAGTCTATAGGGTGCAGTATTATCCAGTTTCAGGCATCCAATGGGGGTCTCAAAGCATATCGTCCATGGGAAAGGGAGGATATGGTACCTGCTTTATTAACATATCCAAATCAATTGTATGCATGGTGAGATTCTCACCTCATCAGACTGTTATATTCTTTTATTCTTCGACTAATCAGATCCCTGTTAGTAACTCCAGTGTCCTATAGAACAATCAGAAGGTAAAATTAGAAAATCAATTCTAAACAGAAGTGATCTCACTTTTTTGAGGCTTTTTGAATTACTTTGCTTATGCAATGCGTACACTACCATTCCTTCTCAGCAGAGCCGTTTCAGAACCTCTTTTCAGTAGCACCATGTGACAAAAGTTCCAAGTGTTCCAAGTGCCTTCCCCATTGCCAAAAGAGTTTTGTTTATTTTCTGTATTTGTGCAATACCCACCATATTCATATTTTTTTTTGTTGAGACAGTCTCACTATGTCACCCTCGGTAGAGTGCTGTGACGTCACAGCTCACAGCAACCTCAAACTCTTGGACTTCAGCGATTCTCTTGTGTCAGCCTCCTGAGTAGCTGGGACTACAGATGACCACCACAATGCCCAGCTGTTTTTTTGTTGCAGTTATCATTGTTGTCTGGCAGGCCTGAGCCAGGTTTGAACCCACCAGCCCTGGTGTATGTAGCCAATGCCATAACTACAAAGCCATGGGCACTGGGCCCATATTCATGTTTTTGAGCTGATCTATCATTTGTAATAAACCACTGGGAAACAGAAAGCTAGCTTGTTCTCAATCACAGTAGAAAGAATGATCAGCATTTAAAAATAATACAAGTGGAAGAAAGATGGAAAAATACAATTAGAGTCAATTACTATTATACGTGGAAGTTGGATTATCAGAAAACATGACCGTCACATTATCAAAACATGTTTGTGTTTAACCTCCCCACATTAACTTTTATAGTAAACCACGTGGTAAACCCAGAGTTGACCATAAAGTGCTGATATTTTTTGTTGTTGTTGACATGTGTCCTCAGTTTTTGTTAACTGCTTCATTTTGAACATAATGAATTACAATGTAATTTACAAAGAATAAAAATAATCTTGAATTTAAATTTACTCTTTCAGTTTGCCAGCTAAAAGACTATAGGATTAAGATCTGGAATAAGATTGACTGGATTTGCTCTTTCCCGTCTTGCAAGATGGCGGGTGAAAAAGTTGAGAAGCCGGTTTCTAAAGAGAAGAAACCAGTTTCTAAGGAGAAGAAACTGGTTTCTAAAGAGAAGAAATCTGTTAATAAAAAGAAGAAGCCTAAAGCCAAGAAGGGGATGCCCCACTGCAGCCGAAATCCTGTTCTGGTCAGAGGAATAGGCAGATATTCCCGATCTGCCATGTATTCCAGAAAGGCA